CACGAGCCGCCAAAAATGGCATACAAACGCATGCGAAAAAGGCAGGCGGCTTAGCACGAAAGCCGCCGAATCCGGTCGACCTTCACGATAGAGTCTCACCACTCACATCACTACCACTCGAGAGTCTACCTTCCATCCATAGGTCTTAAGAGTCTCCATCCACCCACATAGGTCTCCACATAGGGTCCACCATCACTAACCGCAAACGTTTTGGGTTGCCTCTCGTTGAGGTTGGGGTTCGAGTCCCCATGCGGTTTGATGACGATATATCGGGATGAAGCATGCTCGGGGCACACGACTCGCATTTTTTTTCGCATGATTTTGTATGGATGAACATGGATTTTGTCACCACTCCGACCATTCAGAATAATGATCAGCCGGCACAACTCACCACCCCTACTAAGTCGAGTAAGGCATCGACGGGTTGGTTGATAGGAGGCCTCTTGTTCTGGCTTCTCGGTGGCATGTACGGAGCTTACCTATCATGGTCGTGCAACTCGAACCATGGCTTCGGAGCCTTCAGCAAATTGATATTCTCGCTGTTCGCCATGCTCGGTGGTTGGGGTTATGTCCTGAACTATCTGATATTCAAATCTTATACGTGCGACCCGGTAGCAAGTCTTCTGGCGAGTCCTGATGCTGCCGCACGATTTTTAGGAGAGCGCAAGCTGTAGGCAACCACACGAGTGCCAAGTTATCCGCAAATCATAAAACATCGTTGTTTACTTTATGATGTGGCGGATCAGATGCTGGAGCATGTGCCCCCGTGCGATCATGTGCCCGTCCGATACTCCAAAGTAGTTGTAGTTATGGTGTTGACCGGATACATTGGCCTTGCGTGAACGCCGGGTTGCGGAGTATGCGAGAGAGCATCGAGAGAAATGCGAGTATGTAGGCAGGTCCGAAAATAGCTGGGTCCACCCGGCCGTTCTCCCGCGACATCCTAGACGCAAAGAGTCTTAAGGAAGCGCTGGGCCGACGGGGATCACATCGAGCCGACGATGGCTACAGGAGTGCAGAACAAGAGGTTGTTGCTGGAGAAATTGCGGGTATTCTACGACGAGCCCGAGCACTGCAGGGTCCTTCTAGACGTTCTCTTGTCCAAGAAGTACCCGTCATTGCGTACCATCGACTGGCTCGTCACGAACTACTCTCAGAGCAAGAACGTGGTGTATCCGGTAGGCGGGAATCCGTTTCATCTGGCCTTGGAGTACAGGAACCAGCTGAAGGCCTACTCGAAGCGGTACTTCGACCCTTTCAACCGGCGGGACAAGATCATGTTTCCGATCATGGATCTGAGGAAGAAGAAGCACATGCAGGGTAAGGAGCTGAATACGTGCGCTTCCGCTGCCGTGCCGGAGGAGGCTGCGAGGCACGGGTACGGACCCGACGCAAAGACGATCGACGTGATGACGACGGTGTGCCAGTTGAACTTCCTCCGGTTCGCCATGACGGCAGGGGTCCTCGAGTTCGCCCGGCAGAACAAGGAAGAGATCGAGGAGCACATGGCGCGCAGGCACAGGAAGCCGAGCAAGCCGCTGAGGAGGAACCGGGGCAGGGGCGATCATGGCGGAGGCAAGCTCGAGCAGAAGAGGCCCCTGCGGGAGGGGATGGTGATGAGGCGGAACGTGAGGATCGTGATGAGGTTCAACTAGGCCCAGGCCCGGACGCCGGTCCTCACCTCCGGCAGGGAGGACATGCCGTGGTTCCTCTCCACATAGAAGGTGTTGCAGATCGTCTTGTAGGCGAGGCCCGACGACCCGAACTCCCTGGCGGCGTATCTGGGGTTGAAGATCAGCTTGTGGTTCGCGTCCGTGTTGATCGCAGGGGTGGCGAAGCCGAGCTTCTGACTCCACAGCCCGATCAGCTCGTGCTTTTTGGGGGTGTCCCGCGGGTCCTTCTCGAGGGTCTTTGCGTGTCGGATGGCGTCGGCGACGGTCGCGGCATGCAGGCGCTTGCCCCGGGATGCGAAATAGGTCTGGAGGCGTAGGCACTTGGCGTCGGAGTGGGCGAGTTGCCCCGCGCTGCAATCCAGGAGCCAGTATGGGTCGATGATGAAGTTGCCCTCTCGGATGACGTACTCCGGGACTCTCTTCACGTGGATGAGCACGTTCGTGATGGCGCGGTTCAGGTCGGCGTCCGCGTTGGAGTAGGCGGGGCCGAAATCCGGACACAGCCGTTTGAACGCTTGATGATGAGCCTCGTTGGAGTGGCGATTAGAGTCGTAGGCGTCGGAGATGTACTGAGAGCCGGTGAAGGCGTCGATCTTCAAGACCTCGTAAGGGTTGGGCGGCACCC